ACAAACAATTTGACTCTATGGTTTACGCATCGATACCTTTATAATGTTTTCAATGAATTAATAATCTTTACAATGCTGGGATTAACAATGAAACGTTTATTTTATAATTTTTCGATAAAAAGAAAAAAAGAAAAGAAAAAAAAAACAAACAAACAAACAAAAAAGAAGAAAGAAAAACGACAAAAACCATATTTCCTTTTCAAGACAATTTTTAATAAATTGATCAAAGGATAATATCTTGTTTTTATTTTATAAATATTTCAAGCCAAAATTGTTTTATAAATTTATCTCTTTCGATAGTGCAATGGTGCTTAAAATTATAACTCGTAGTACACGTTGTTTCGCAAATATTATATGTGTCGGTACGCTGTTAGAAGGATTCATTACGTTCCATTATTGACATATGAATTAACTGGGAAATCGTAGATAAATTTGTTAACGTTAACATCATCAATTTATGATAGTTTAATAAAGTTTTAATTTGACGATAATATTATTCCAGAATACAATATCTCGTGAAATTTAATAAAAACTTTATTCGATCGAATAAAATTCTTTTATTTATTCATGAATTCGATTAAATGTTATTTTCTATATAACAAAAGTGGAAAAAAAAATTTCTGAATCATTCTCAATCGATTTCGAATATCATTTACATAAAATATTTCTTTCTATTTCTATATTTTCTTCTTCATCTATATTTTCTTTTCTTCATGATTATTAATTATTAATTATTGATATCTCATATTATATATCTGAAATGTGTATTTCTCTCAATGATCATTACTATTATAGTTGTGATATGATATTACATATTGCATATTATTATAATACTATTTCAAAAATGAGACCTTTAATAATATCATTCTGTGATATTACTGCATCCAAACTAAATGTAAATGAATCGCAATCGTACAAAAGATTCGGCAATTTCTATATGTTGAATCATAATTTTATGTATCACGATCATTTAATATATCTACAGTGATCGATAAATGAATACCAAATGCGATTAACTAAATATTTTAATGTGATCATATAAATCAATGCAAACATGATTTGTTATTATTTACGTTGATAACAAAAATAAAGAAATATAAATCGTATGATAAGAGACAATTCAATGATGGAACATAATAATGATCGTTAGTTTTATGAAGAAAATTAGAAAATCTTCAAACTGCGAAACTATTAAAATTACCATAAACGCTTAACGAAGATCGAACATTTGAATTTTCCAAGTAATATTAACTACCGATGCGTTTACGAAATGCAATAGGTTATATCGATTTCGTATCAATTTTCAATATACCTTAGCGAAGTACATACACGCATACACATAAATAAATCTTTAATACGTATACACGGGATAGTAGTTCTTCGATGTCGCAGCATCTTTACACTTTTCCATACAGGCAAGTAACATCGGTGAAATGTGTTTGTATGTTTACGATAAAATGCTCGATAAGTTAGTATAAGTACAATATATAAAGTTTACTTTTACAACTCGGAAAGTACGGATATCACAACGTAACTACATCACCCACACAGAAAACACTCGACGATTTCTCGATCTAGAACGATAGAAGAATGACTAAAACGACATTGGTAAGACCGATCGGTTATTTCTCTTTTCTCTCTCTCTCTCTCTCTCTCTCTCTCTCTCTTTTGTGAAGTAGCGAAAAAAGATTATATGGGTTATTCTATGTCGAGTGATTGCCGACAGGCGTTTTAGTATCTCACAACGAATATAGGAAAACGAATGAAAAAGTCTGTTCAAGTGTAATCGCTCGTCGTGCACTTCAATTGTTTTATCGAACCGCTAGAAATCATGGAAAAGTTGTGGAAACGTCCTTCTTTGAGCGAGTAGAGAGAAAATAGATTCAACGATATCAAACCTTCGAGTAGGAGAGAATTTTTTCTTTTGCGATGCTCGGCCAAGCACGAACTCGTTCATCCATGAAGAGAGTGCAAAAACAAAACAAAAAAAAAAAAAAAAAAAAAAAACAAAGAAAAAAAGAACAAGGAAGGAAAAAGAAAAACAAAAAAAATGAAAGCAAAGAAAGAAAAAGAAAAAGTATGGGACGACGAATGAAAAAAGAAAAGAAAAAAAAACGGGATAGATGATACATAAGGATCCTTTGATATTGATTTATATTCGTATATGATATATGTATGTACGTATATACGTATGTACGTACTTATCTACTCTTTTCCTTCAACCATATCTATACACACATTATGTGTATTTTTGTACGTATGTATGTATGTATGTATGTACGTACGTATGTGGGACTTCGTACATTCGCAAAACTTCAAAGTTCCTATTCTGGAATGATATCGATCAGGATCGATTCCGTTATCCTACCGAGTCATT